AATAAATAAAAAAAACAAAAAACAACAACAATAAAAAACAAAGGAGCCGCACCTGCACCCAGATTTCTGGCCTGGAGCGGGATGCCAAAACCCGAGCAGGAAGTGCAAGGTGGCCACCCTGGGCAGCAGGAGCCTCCGGGAAAGGTCTGGATTCCTGCTACTCTGCCCTGACTAGCACACCGCAGGGAGGGCGAAATCAAGTTTTAGTAGAGGATGAATAAGAGTAAGAACGAAAGTACTGGAAACAAAGCAGCCAGGCTGGGACCATAGCGACGTCCCATCTGTGAAGATGTGAAGGGTCCTGGGACGGGGAGAACTCCAGACCCTGCGTAGACAGAAAGATAAACTGCCATTTGGTGAGACCGAGGGGTCTGTGGTTCCTGGTCTGCTGGTGACAAGCCCCTTGCCTGCGAGAGGCATCGTGACACAGGCGTGTGAGAAGGGCCAGTTAAGAAAGGCCTTTGCAGGGTGCCTGGGTGGCTCAGTGGGTTAAGGGACTGACTTCGGCTCAGGTCATAGTCTCATGGTTTGTGAGTTCGAGCCCCGCCTCAGGCTCTGCACTGACAGCACAGATCCTCTGTCCCCTGCTCTCTGCTGTCTCCCGCCTCTGTCTCAAAAAATAAATAAACATTTGCGATGGAAAGAAAGCCAGGGATCAATCAGGCTGTGACCTGGGACCAAGTCCTAGGCCCTCCAGAGATGAGTTGCAGTTTCCTGGTTGGCAAAATGGGTTATTGGAATCTCCTCTCACTCGTGCCCACTCCGGTATCTTCTGGAAGCCCACCTGGGGGATTGAAAGGGCCGTTGAGTCCCTCTGGAGTGTGACCTTGGAATGCCACGTTCTGCAGATGTCTGCATAAATCTGAGTCGGCCGCTGCGTCTCTAACCCCTACCCAGTGCCAGTCCATCCTCCAGAACCTGGGGACACTACCTCTTCTCTCTCTCTCTCAGTTATGCCACCTGAAAATGGAAATAGTATTTTCATCATTTAGGTGCCAGGCTCTGGGCTAGGTGCCTGATGCGGCTTAGACCACAATAGACCCACTTTTTTTTTTTTTTTTTGGCCTGTAATTGTGAGGTATTTCAGGCCGACCCAAAACTAGAGAATAACTTTTTTAAGTTTATTTTGAGAAAGAGAGAGCAGGGGAGGGGCAGAGAGAGAGGGAGAGAGAGAGAGAATCCCAGACAGGCTTCATCCCAGCAGTGCTGAGCCCAATGCGGGGCTCGAACTCACGAACCATGAGATCATGACCTGAGCCTAAACCAAGAGTCGGGTGCTTCACCAGCTGAGCCACTCGAGTGCCCCAAAATAATAGGGAATAAATTAATAAACACCCATATGCTACCACCCGGCTCAATTAATACGTAAGTCAAATCGAATCCGGATTCACTTAATACCCCTCGGGTGCCCTTTCTCCCTCGCGGCCGCCTCTGACATCCGCACAGACAACGCCGTCCTGAATGTAGCCGTCATCACACTCGGGCAAGCCCGTATGCTTTTCCTGCCTATGTAGCCAGAAACAACGAGGGCATTGTTTGCAAGATGTGTACTCTGTGTACATGGCACCGGAGCGCCTCATGCACTGCCCGCCTTGTTTTTTGTTCCACGTGTTGCGTGCCTTGTCCGTGGAGCTGGATGGAGTTCAAGTTTATTTATTTGAACTGGCTGAGCTTAGTTCTATTCTGTGCGTGCTCCACAGTTTGCTCTTCTCTTTTCCTGGACGGACAGTTAGCTCTTCCCAGCAGTGCTGCTACGAACAGCCTAGTGTACACGGATTTCCGCACGGTTTCCGTGCCAGAGCGGGGTTCCCGGGTCTCACTGAACACGGGGTTTTCGGAAGCGTGGTGGCTTTTAGCCTGGCGTGGACTCTCAGGTCCTTGTTGTCTTATATCTGGAAGTTCTCACACGTTCACCCAATCTGTCGGGCTCCCCTGAGCATCCGAGCTTTCGACCCCTGGTCTCGTGCGAAGCGCACAGGCGCGTAAGCTGGTGATTGTAATGATTTGGCAGAGGTGCTGTCAAAGCAAGAAACCCCAGCCATCAGGGGTGTGTTGAGGAAACAGCAACTGCAGCTGAGGAGTTGAGGAAGGATGCAAAATCCTAGTTAAGTTAGTCATACTTAGGCAAAGTTTTGTGGTATGAGTAGGAGTTTTCCGGGAAGCTGGAGGTGGAGAAAGGCCACTGGAGGTAGAGAGAACGGCCTAAGTTCAGGCCCAGAGGACCGAGGAACAAGTTGAATTGAAGGAATAATGAAGGTTAGCGTAAAACACTGAGAAGGGCCGCAGAGTAGGGCCCTTGAGGCCCGGGGTGCCATGCTAAGGAGACGGGACTTACCCTGGTGGTGGTGGGCGTATTGTGAAGGAGGGAATGATAAGAGTGGCATGTTCACTGCTGTTTTCGAGAGAGGCCAAGTGACAGTGGAAGAAGCCTGGGAGACAAGACTGAAAGCAAAGGCTACCAGCGGGAGTCTACTGCAATAGTCCGAGCAGCAGTCATCAAAGACGAAATGGAACAGTGAAGCTCTAACGCAATACACAGGAGTTGACTGGAGAGAGTTTAGGCACTGACCAACTGGATGAGCAGGTGAGGAAGGGGGGGGTGAGTCAAGGGTTGGGGTAGGCAGAATAATGGTCTCCAAAACACGTCCACACTTTAATCCCTGGAACCTATGAATATGTTGTGTTTCGTGGCAAAAGGGACTTTGCAGACGTAACTAATGTCATCGACTTTTATTTAGTGTTTATTTTTGAGAGAGAGACAGAGAGGGAGAGAGAGACAGGGTGTGCGCGGAGAAACACCTTGCTCTGCCAAGGAAACAGAGCCCAGTCCTGCCCCTCAAGGAACTGAATGCGGCCACCAAGCTGAGTAAGCATGGACGCGGATGCATCTGGAGCCTCCTGAGAATAGCCCCGCCGGGCGGCACCTTGACTTTAGACTTGTGTGAGACCCGGAACCCACCTGGGCTTCTGACCTGCGGAAACAGAAAGGTAAGGAACCAGTGTGGTTTGAAGTCGCTCGGATTGCGGTAAGCTGGCGCAGGGGCGGGAGAAACGATCGCCAGCCTGAGTTCGGGGTGCTCGCCGGGCCGCGCGCAGATGTGGCCCTGGACGTTGTGGGGACCTGGATGGAAACAAGATCTCCGTGTTCCCCATCAGGCTCTTCCTGTGCCAATTATCTATTCCTGCAGTAACAATATTAGCACCCGCTTATAGCACCTTGAAGTCATAGGCGTTTATACGGGCGTTTATTTCCTCCCTGTCTGCGCACGGCTCAGCTGTGTCATCTGCGAGGCCGCGGGCCAGGCTGGGCTCTCCCCTCAGTGCTCAGCCAGTGTCTTCATCATGGGTTTGGGCTGGGGTGGGGGGGGGTGCGGTGCTTAAACAACACACTTTTATCTCTCACACTTCTGGAGGCTGGGAAGTCCAAGATGGGGGCGCGGGGAGGCTGGGTGTCTGGCGAGGGCTCATTTCCTGGCTTGCGGACGGGCTTTCTTGTCCTCACGGTGTGGAGAGAGCGAGCTCTCCTGTCCCTTCCTTTTTTTTTTTAGAAGGCACTAATTCTCACCCTCAAGACCTCATCCTGCCCTGATCACCACCCCCCTCAAAAGGCCTAACCTCCTAATAGCATCACAGTGGGGATTAGAGCTTCAACATATGAATCGTGGGGGGCGAGGGAGTATGTGCGAGATATTAACCTCCAAGCCCATAGCAACTGGAAACACTCATTTTCTTCTCCTTTTTAAACAAACTTTATCTATCTATCTATCTATCTATCTATCTATCTATCTATCTATCTATCTATCTATTTTTTCAGAGAGAGAGAGGTCACAAGCAGGGAAGGGGCACAGAGAGACAGAGGGGACAGAGGATCTGACGCTGGCTCTGCACAGACAGCAGAGAGCCCGGCGCGGGGCTCCACCCCATGAACCATGAGACCATGACCTGAACCCAAGGCAGGTGCTTAAACCGACGGAGCCACCCAGGCACCCCAGGACTCACTCCCAAGCCCACGCGGCTGCTGAATTCAGGGCCTCCTGGCCTGGGGGACGATTTCTTGCCGCGCTGTTGGCTGGATCTCACTCCTCGCCATGTGGGCCTCCCCAGCACAGCCGCGCGTGTCCCCGAAGCGGCCAGAGAGCGTCTGCTAACCAGATGGATGCTGCCGTCTTACGTAACATAACCAGAGGAGTGACATCACGTCACCTGTGCTGTACGCCGTCGGTTGGAAGCAGGTCACGATCCTCCCACTTAAGGAGAAGGGATGACACGGGGTGTGAACAGCAGAAGGCAAGAATCGCTAAAGGTGTTAGAGTCTGTCCGCCAGCACTTTTCAGAGGAAGGGATGGGGTTTCTTATCTGGGGGTGTTTCAAGGATTGTTAGGGATTTTGCGTCCCACCAGGCCTGGCGTTCAGGGGATCCTTTTTGCCATCGGTAAGTCAAAACCCAGCTCTGCTCACCTGTGTTAAAAGGGCCGGGTGGGGACGGGAGGGAACAGACTCGGGGGGCAGCCTTCCTTGTGAGCCAGCCTGGTGATTTGCTAAGCAAAACTCAAGTTGATATGACATAAACAACGTCTGCTGCCTCCAGGGGCTGCCACAATATTTTCTTTTAAGTGCTACTCGTGCCTGAAATACGCTTCTGGTTTTGAAATGTGGTTCTCCACTCGTGCGCGGCTACAAATCACTCTCTGATGAAGAGTGCCATTTTTTATTCTTTAATGGAGGTTGGCAGAGCACGTGACGTCATTCCAGATGGGAGGCACGCCAGGGCAGGGGGCTGGAGGCCTCTCCTTGGAGGGGTCAGTTTGGAAGACAAGCGGGGGCTTTTTCTTTTTTTTAATGTTACTTATTTTAGAGAGAGAAAGACAGAGCATGAGCAGGGGAGGGGCAGAGAGAGAGGGAGATGCAGAATCCAAAGCAGACTCCAGGCTCTGAGCCATCAGCACAGAGCCCGACACAGGGCTTGAACTCAAAAACCGTGAGATCATGACCTGAGCCACAGTCGGATGCTCAACTGGCTGAGCCGCCCGGGTGTCTCAAGAGGGAGATTTTTCACTGCGAATTTGGCATCCCATTGATGCAGGTTCAGCCGTGTGTGAACACCTGTGCTCTCCAGAGCCCTGACGTCTGTTTACTCTTATATTTTCTCTTTTTTCCCCCATGTTGTTAAGTTTGTAAGTTTTTGCTGCTAAAACAGTGCATCCAAAAGTAACACAGCTTCTCTTCCTGATGCCACAATGATAGGGAAAAAAAATTGGTCATTTGCTCTGTAATTCCCCCTCTACCCCTCACCCCACATGCAGGTCTTCACCATCAGCAGCAGGACATGGAGCCTTCCGCATGGGATGTGGATGTTCTTGAACATTCTGAGAAGCCGACATGAAAATCTATGGATAGATATGCTTATTTATACGCATATCAACTAACATCATAGTTATACAAGATGGACAAATTCTAGAGATCTGTACAACCTAGTGCCTATTATTAACAAGTCTCTTAAGGGGGCTGATCTCATGTTAAGTGTTCTTAGACACACAAAAGAGCCAACGGACACAGGAAACTTGGAAGTGATGGTATGTCAATTACTTTGAATGTGCTGATGGCTTCCCAGGTGTGTGCCTCTGTCCAAACGCATCAAATTGTATGCATTCCATATGTGCAGGGGTTTGTTTATCAATTATACCTCAAATATACCTCAAAAACAAAAAGCTGTAAAACAACCCCCTCCCCGAACAGAACACAGCTTTTCTTACCAACTTAATCTCCAGATCCATAAATCAATCCTTCCTTTTCATGGCGCCCCAGGGTGCCAGGAGATGGACGGATCGCTCTTTCACGTCCTGGTTGGTGGCCATTTACAGCGTTGTCATCAGAAAGACTCTGCTGCATGAGAAGCGAGTGAGTGTAGGTCAGTCCAGTTTTAGAATGGGAGAAACTAAGGCCCAGAGACGTTCAGTGGAGGGTTCTGTGGCTCCCCCCAGGTTCTGGTGGATTCCCCCAGCGGAGAGAACCTATGCAAGCCTGCAATTGCTCCCTGCTACCACTTGGTGTCACTGTTGAAGCTTGTTCCCTGTGCAGCCTCTGTGGACAAACAGCCCCTCCTTGCTACCAGCTTCCTGGGCTTCGAACTTCTTATTTCACCTTTTCCTGCCACTGACTCTCATGATCTGTCCTTATAGAACTCCCTAGGCAAACCCACCTTCTCCCAAGTGGTCACATTCTCAGAGAACTTGGCTCCCTTACACCTGCCTCCTCTCCTAACTCCAGCGAAGGGGGTTTCTTATCTTCCCTTGAGGTATCCAAAGTAGACCAGAGAGTGATGCTTCACAGAACACACACAGCCGACTCCAACCTGACTTTCAGAAATTCAGACAAGTTACAGGAATCCAAATATGGCTTTATGGATTCATGAGCATAAGTGGTTTAAATCAACATGAAATGGCTTGCTTATTCAGACGCATAATCAGCTTCCCCCACTTCAGTGTAAAGAGGATCCAAACTCAGAATCTTGCTCACTAGTGTCTGATTTGGCAGCAGGTGCCAAACTGGCTGTACAGCTCCGTGGTATCCCCAGATTTCAACCAGAGGTGATGGTTTTGAGATTCACGTGTCATCTTCCAGGCTTAAAAACAAAACACAGGGGCACCTGGGTGGCTCAATGGGTTAACTGTCACAGACTCTTGATCTCAGCTCAGGTCATGATCTCACAGTTCGTGAGTTCAAGCCCCACATTGGGCTCTGTGCTGATGTTGAGGAGCCTGCTCGGGACTCTCTGTCTCTCCCTCTCTCTCTGTTCCTCCCCTGCTTGTGCTCTCTCTCTCTCCAAATAAACAAACTTGCAAACAAAAAAATAGCAAGCACTTCTCCACATGTAAATATATACCCTTAGATATTTTGTGCAGTTTTTTTTTTTTGAAAATGGTACCCACAGCACATTATGTAAATTGCCTTTTTCTGAAGCCCATTCATCATGTGGGGCAGAGGAGGCTGCCCTGTGTAGGACGGGGTGGGGACAGTTTTGTGGGGGGTGAGAATGGGCCCTTTCCTAGGATGATGTCACCTGGGGGCGCAGCTTTACTCTTTGGAGGGAAGGACAGGAAAATGTGTGTGGACCACTAAACTCCTCCCACAGGCCTACCTGTTGGGGGCAGTGTGGTTTTTTTGTTTAATGGGGAGGAACCTAAGGGTCCCTTTGTGACACTTTTTTTTTTTTTCTTTTTGAGAGAGGGAGCGTAGCGGAGGGGCAGAGAGAAAAGGAGACACAGAATCTGAAGCAGGCTCAAGGCCCTGAGCTGTCAGCACAGAGCCTGACATGGGGCTCAACCTCGTGAACCACTGAGATCATGACCCAAGCCAAGTCCGAGGCTCAATGACTGAGCCACCCAGGCGCCCCTGTGACACTTCTTTAAAAAGCAATGAATGGCTGCTCTAGTGGAGAGAAGAAAACATTCAGTCATTATCCCACTTAATTCTGGATCATTCTAACTTGCCTGTGTCCTAATAGGTTATCTTTGGGTGTGTGGGCTCTGGAGAGATTCTGGGGGGGGGGGGGGGAAATTATGCATGTGATACGATCCTCTCCTATTAAATCTGAACAATGTGAAAGTTTACAGGATAAGAAGTGAAGGAATCCTTTCCGCAGCTCCCCGACTGGACCGCTGTTAACTTGATGCGGATCCTTCTTCCCTCGGTCCAGTCAGGGACGGCGGGGCCCAGCCTCACCAGCATCTCCAAGCCGCAAGTTAGAAATGCAGGGTCTCGGGCTCCACCCAAGAACCAGAACTTGTCTTTTAACGCGACCCCCAGAGTGAAGAGAGGCTCTCAGTGTGGCCGGGCAGCATCAGCGCCACGTGGGAGGCAGTCAGGCCACATCTCGGATTTACTGGGCCACCCAGCGATGGGTGTTTAACAAGCCAGGGGACACCCATGAAGGCTGACGAGTGTGGGAGCTTCTGCTGTGAAGTCGGGGACTCCTACCCCCTGGAGGCAGCTAGGCTCCTCGCCCCCCATCACGTCCCTCAACCCCCCTCTTTCCAGAGAGAGCCCGCCCGGATCTGGCTCCTTCACCGAGGTACCCCCAGAGTCCGGTTCCACCACGCATACACCAGGAGCTCCATTAATGCTCCCTTCACTTTAGGAATATCAGGCCAATCCGGGTTTCCCCGAGTACGTCCAGCTGGTTTTCAGATGGCACAAGACGCCACTCCCCCGGGGGTGGAGGTCACTGCACACGTGGTTAAATGCATTCGAGCAGCCCCGCGGCGCACTCTTTCGTGATGCAAAGAAAACAGATTCCGCAGGACCCTGGCTCGGTTTACCGCGGCCGTCTGGCAGCACATACACGCCGAAAGCTGGTCAGACACCCATTTCACGGAAGGGCAAATGGAGGCTCAGCCGGGGTTAGGTTTTCACGTCAGGACGACTCTAGGCCTGGGCAAGATTTCCTCTCTTACAGCAGTGCCTGCAACCGACTGCTTTTTAAAAATAGCAAGCCAGCCAGCAGCTGCCTCTGGGTGTGGGCCCGGCATCAGGCAACGGCAGTCCTCTCATGAGAAAGGATAAACTTGGACTTGCACGTTCAGGGGGGAAGCTTAGTGGCTCTCGAGTCGAGTGTGCCAGCAGCTGTGGGGGTTTTTGCCTGGGGCCACGGTTTCTGGGGGCCCCTCCGGTTCCCGCGGCGGGGGACTCGGTCCGGAGCGGGCAGTTTGCGGCGTAGCCGAGGCCGGACCACCCAGACGCTCACCTTCCGCGAGGGCTGGCGCAGAGCTTGGAGCCACACGGGGTGAAAACAGTTTGGCCGGCTCCGCACCCATCTGCACCCAGGGGCGAGGCTCTAGACGCGGCGGTTTTTCCGGTCGTCCGCTTTTGAAAACTGGTCCCACCCCTAAAAAGTCTCCCCTTTCGGGAAAGGTCGGCACCAGGCACGGACGGGGTTCGAACCCGTGATCTTCGGTTTACGAGACCGACGCCTTACCACTTGGCCACCGCGCCTGCGTTGGAATGGCGGCTCCGCGAGCCTCTATCCTGGCGTCGCTCCCGTCAGCTCGCCCCGCGGGCACGAGCGCGAGCGCGAGCGCGCCCGCCCCGCCCCGCCCTCGCGCGGCCCCGCCCCCTCCCTGCGGCCGGCGGGGCGGGGCTCCGGCGTGCGCGCGCCGGTCGCTCTCCGCAGACTCCCGGCTGCGGACGCGCCGGGCTTGGGGGGGGGCCCCGCGCTCCGCGTGCGGCGGGGTGGCGGCCCCGGAGTCCCCACCGCCACGGCGGGAGGAGTGTCTGGAACTCCGGAGCCGGCGGAACGCTAGTCGGGGACTCGGACCCCAGTGTTCGAATCCCAGCTCCGCCAGAGACAGTTTGAGACCGGGAGTGGCGCTCCTCGGAGCCTCAGTTCCCCCCCTGGGGTAAAGCACCCAGGAAGCAGGGGAAGGGATGACAGTTCTCGTTGCCAGTCCACGGCTGTCCTGCGCGGAGCACACGCCCGGCAAGTGTTGTTGAATGAATGCGTAAGTGTTTAAGAAATAAAAAGCTCAAAGCTCCTCTTCCCCCGCTGGTGAGCCCCGGGTGCCTGCCTCGTCCGGGACCAGCGCCGTCACCTGGGGGCTTGCCGCCCTGCGACTTGCCGGTTCCGCCCGCACCTGCCGAATTAGACCCGAGGGTGGGGCCCGGCAACCTGGGCTTTCACAAGCCCTCCAGGTGATGCTGAGCCCCGCTGCCCCAGACAATTGATAGACACATTCGTATTTATATGCTCAAACGTATGCATGTATTCAAACTTTTATTTTTTTATACAAATAGACCGACTCTGCAGTTCTTTGCACTTTGATTTTTCATGTATGAATGTGTTAATACAGTGGCTTGTAGTAATATAAATAATCACCATAAGTGACAGCGTATTATTTAATAACTTCATAATTTGTGTTTCATTAATATGCATAACGCTGTATTGTAATTTATATATATTACAGTATATACGGTAATCTGACCCTTCTACACGGATGGTTTACCTTATTCTCTTTAATAGCTTCATGGTTTCCCATTGAGTGGCTGTATCATAGTTGATTTAATCAATTTCTGGGACGTAGCCTTATGTTGTCCGCAGCTTTTTTGCTGAACAGAACATTCTGCTATATGCATCTTTCTCGTCTGGTACCAGTGATGCTTGTAGGGTATATGAAGACATACATTAGGTTTGTTCCCAGCCCACCACTCAACTGCATAGGCTAATAGGAAACTTAAAAATACCAGGAAGTTGTGTTCACCAGGTTGCTTTAAGGTTTGGGAAAGTGAGTGGAAAAGGCACTGACGTTTACCCTCGGACATTGGGACAGGAATACTGAAACATTGCACTCAGTGTGTGAGATCTTTCTGCAGACATCACTGCAGCTCCCTAATGTAAAAAAAAAAAAAAAAATGGAGGCACCTGGGTGGCTCAGTTGGTTAACTAGCCGACTCTTAATCTTGGCTCAGATCATGATCTCAAGGTTAGTGGGATGGAGCCCTGTGTTGGGATTCTCTCTCCCTCTCTCTCTGACCCTCCCCTGCTCATTCTCTCTGTCTGTCTCGAAATAAATAAATAAAAATTTATTATTAAAAATTTGTAAAATTTGGGGCACCTGAGTGGCTCAGTTAATTGTCCATCTTCGGCTCAGGTCATGATTTCAAGGTTTGTGATCTCAGCCCCTCGTCGGGTTCCGTACTGACAGCTTGGACAGAGCCTGGAGCCTGCTTCAGATTCTGTTTCTCTCTCTCTCTCTCTCTGCCCTTCCCCTGCTCGTGCTCGGTTTCTGTCTCTGAAAAATGAATAAATATTAAAAAAAAGTTTATAAAAGTTTATAAACACTTTTTGTTTAAAAAATTCAAGAATATTTTCAGAATTAAAACATTTGTTCCCGAGCAATGCCTCTGACTCGTGGAGGATAAAATTGGTTCCAGTGTCTGCCTCTTGTTTCGGGTGTTCACTGAGCTGTTGGAATGCTTGTGCCGAAGTGGCAGAGGCGTAGCAAAAGTTAAAAGAAATTAGCAAGTGAGGAAACGTCACGCAGGAGCTGAGCCCAGAACTAACTGGCAGGTGGAACAGGGATCAGCCTCTTAACAGGTGCTGTTTTCCGGCTTTGCCTTGTGAGGGAAGGGGGGGAGCAGAATGGGAGAGGGGCGTCTGTGCCTTGTTGGGCGGGTAGGGCGCCCCAGGCGTCCGCGATCTGAGGGGCCCTGAGAGGGGCGGGTAGAGAACGCAGGTGCTGGGTGCTCTGACCTTACTTATCTGACAGGGAGCAGCGGAAGAAGCCACAGATCGCGTGTGCGGATGGAGGGGCCGTCCCGGCCCCAGTGTCCCCGAGCGGTGCCTGCACAGAGTAGGTTTGTGATCAGAGCATTTTGCGGACGGAATTAACATTCGGGTTTCTTTCCGCACGGTCCTCCCCCACGGTTCTGGGGAGGCTCCTTGGCCAGCGGCCTCCAGGACCGCCCTGACCCCGAACTTGCCGGGACCCCTTCTTGGGTGAAGCATACACTTTAAATTCCTTGCTGATAGGAGCTGTTCATTGTCCACCCGTACAGAAAGAGCTTAAATCCAGCCAACGTTTCCTGTTTCCTGCGTCCTAACAAAGGCCCTGGGGCAGAGGATGGCACAGAAATCAGTGTGACCCGATCCCAGGCCTCCTGCATGCCAGGGTGAGAAACCAGGGTCTGCCGGTCTGGTGACCAAAGCCCGGCGATGTGAGGGAACACTTTTGATCTTTGTGTTCCGTCTGTATCATCACGTCACCTGGATCTCCATACTTCTCGAGTATTTGCATTTCTTTTGTGTTGAAGTATCACTTTTTGTTTTCCATTTTAGAAAAAATATATAGTTTTAAATCTTTCTTTTCTTTTCTTTCTTTCTGTACTTTTTTTATTTCTCTGTGCCTGTCCCCCTGGGTCGATGTTGCTTGAAAAGAGGAAGTTCTCTCTGGGTCCCTATCCCCTTCCTGGCCTGATACAGCCAGTGACTGGGTCCCGGCTGCCCTGGCTCGTGCCTAATGCACCCATTTTAGCGGGCACTTGACAGTGGGGGAGGGCCTGGCACCCGCACTGTCTCAGGAGAGCCTTAGTCGCGACCCTAGCCGCACTTCTCACGGGGACCCCCACATTCCAGTGGGGGCCTTTCTGACAAACTGCCGTGTCGTGCTGATGCCGCCGGTCCTGGCCCTCACCCTGAGGACCCCTGCCCTAAAGGATCTTGGGGGTGCCTGGGTGGCTCAGTCAGTTGAGCATCCGACTTCAGCTCAGGTCATGATCTCACGGTTCCCGAGTTCAAGTCCCGCGTCCGGCTCACTGCTGTCAGTGCAGAGCCCGCTTTGGATCCTCTGTCCCCCTCTCTTTTCTTGCCCTCCCCAGCTTGTGCGATCGCTCTTAAGAAAAAAAAAAAAAAAGATCGTGGAGAAATTCGTTTGCACCAGGAAGATGACAGGGAAACACCGAGGCTTAGATATTTAGGACACTGGAGTTAATGACAACAGTTTTTGTTTTTTTTTTAATTTTTAATATTATTTACTTCTGAGAGAGAGAGAGACAGTGTGAGCAGGGGAGGGTCAGAGACAGAGGGAGACCCAGAATCTGAAACAGGCTCCAGGGTCTGAGCTGACAGTCACCACAAAGCCCGATGTGGGGCTTGAACCCATGAACTGTGAGATCATGACCTGAGCCGAAGTCGGACGCTTCACCGACTGAGCCACCCAGGTACCCCAATGACAACAGGTTTTTACTAATAACCTCAATCGAGCCTGAATCAAGCGTCGGTAACTGCTCCCGGCATCCCAGCCACTGCGCTGTGAGTCATGGTGGGCTGGAGCCCAAGGGTGGGGCAGAGAACACAGCTTGCCTTCCTTACTTCCTGGGAGGAAGTCGATGTTTCCAGCGGGCTGAGCACTTCCCGTGGTCGGTGGGGGGCAGGCTGTGAACTGAGAGGCGTAGGACACCCCGAGTAAGGGACCTGGAGCCACCGCACATCCCTACCAGAAACCTCCTGGTTCCTCACATCTTCCACATCCTGGCTTTTTAATTTTAGCTCTTCTGGTGCGTTTGTGGTTGTATCTCAGCGTGATGTGCATTTCCCTGATGACTGACGATGGGAAGCACCTTTTCCTGTGCCCGTTGACCTCTGGTTACATCTCTTGTGAGGTACCTGCTCACATCTTTTGCCCATTTTTACAGCTTGTGTGTCTTTCTTTTATGGGATCCCTAGCGTTGATTGTACAATCTGGAAGCAAGTCTTTTGTCAGATACCTAGACTGTGACCATTTTCACCTGGTCCGTGGCTTGCCTTTTTGTGTTCTTAAAGATCTCTTTCAAAGCACAGTAAATTTTAATTTCGAGGTAGTCCAGTTTATCTTTTTTTTTTTTTTCCTTTTATGTTTCATGCTTGTTAAGTCGTTTCTAAGAAAGGACTACCTAGGGCATGTCTGGGTAGGTCATGTCTACCTGGGTCACAAAGATTTTCTAGAACTTTTATCGTTTACCCTTTAACATTTAGGCCTGTGATCCATTTGGTTGTCCGTTGAGGTTGATGCTTTTCCCAGACGGACATCAAATTGTTACGGCTCTTTCAGTTGATGTGATTATCTGCTCCCCATGGAATTGCTGCGGTACCTGTTAGAATTCTGTTTTCTGTGGATTTGTTGTCTGTTTCGGGAGTTGGGGCCGTGATTCATTGATCAGTATGCTTATCTTTAGGCCACTTACCACCCAGTCGTGATTCTTGTGGTTTACGGTGAGTGCTGAAATCAAGTGTTAGAAACACTCCAACTTCATTCTTGTTTTTACAGAATTGTTTCGTGCATTCTAGTCCTGTGCGTTTCCGTGCACTTTGTGGCATCCGCTCGTCCGATGCAACACCTGCCTGCCCGCATTTTGAC